AGTGACCAATAAACAGGGGCCAGCAGATAGCGTGGTGGTTAAAGTCGCTGGACTCCCACATGGCCAACCGTGGTTTGAGTCTCAGACTTGGTCCTTGCTTTCTCACTGTCTCTCTCACTCTGTTCCTCTCTGGTCAAATGAAAAGAAATAAATAAGTTAAATAAACGTTTTTTTTTTTTTTTAAAGAAATGACCGATGCACTAAGGCCCCCCCCCCCCCCCCGGTCTTTTTGGTGGCTGTATTCAGGGAAGTTAAATGGAAACAGCAGTAACATACCAAGTCATATCCCCCGGCTGGACCAACGTGCAGCCTGGAGATAGTCAGTGACGTCGTCTCCCTGTGTGCCCCCTCACTCGCTGTGTCCCGGTCACACTCAGCTCTGTGCTGTGGCCTCATCTACAATGGCTCCTGCCTCAGGTCCTTTGCATCATTGCCTCTTCTTCAGATGCTCTCCCCAGGGCCAGCAGGTGGCGTGATGGTTAAGGTGCTGGACTATCACATGCCCGACCGTGGTTTGAGACCCTGTCCCAGTGGCTTGAAAATCACAGCAGGTGTGCGTGTGCGAGCGTGTGTGTGTGTGTGTGTCCCCAAAATCCCTAGAGGAGAATGAAGGAGGAGGGATTGCAGCATGGCCATCCTCTGGAGGTGATTTCACATTCTTTCTCTCTGCTGAATGAGCCCTGTGGCAAACACCTTAAAAAAAACAAACAAAAAAGCAGCTCTCCCCAGGATAGCTGTGTGATTTATTTCCCCACCTGCTCCAGCTTCAAGCCTTCATCTGAATGACTCATTCTCAGTGATGGCCCGCCATGACTCTCTATTTAAAATTGCAGCCCAGCGATCCTGATCCTCTTTACCTGGTTCTGATATTTTTCATAGCCATGAGCACCCGCTAAAATGTGACCTAGTTTTCTTATGACATTTGTTGTTTGAGTCTTCCACTGGAATGTCAGCTCTACGAGGTGAGATCTGCCTGTTTTGTTCACAGTTGGACCTGCAGCGTTTTACACAGGCCCGGGGACACGGGAGGTGCTCTTTACAGTCTCTCTGGAGAGAGTAGGGTAGGTGTCCTTCCGCCGCTGTGGACCTCGGGACTCAAGGCCTCCCTGCCTTTGGACTCCAGGACTTTCAGTGACAGCCGCCAGGGTCCCAGATTTTCAGTCTCAGACTGAATGACATCACTGGCTTCCCGCCTCTTCGGATGTGGACTGAGCCACGCGGCCAGCATCCCGTGGTCTCCTGTGTGGGACTCCTGGTTGTCATCACAACAGGTGATCCCCGCGTAAGTCTCCTCTCCTGTATCGTCTACACAGTGCGTTGCTTCTGTCGCTCTGAACAACTCTGAGCAATACGGCATGTGGGCTCACGGCACAGAGGTGACTGTCTCAGGGCCAGCTGGTGGCCTGGGAGTCAGGGCTGCTGGATCCTACGTGGCCGACCGTGCCAGTCTCAGACCTGGTGGCTTGAGAAACATGCCAGGCATGTCCACATGCACGCTCAAAAATTTCTAGCAGAGGGGCTGGCAGGTGGCGTGGTGGTTAAGGGTGCTGGACTCCCACATGGCCGACCGTGGTTTGAATCCTAGGCCTGGCAGCTTGCTTTCTCACTTTCCCTCTCTCTTACTCTCTTGTTTTGTCCTTCTCTGGTCAAAATAAACTTAATAAATAAAGTTAAATAAAATAATTCTTTTAAAAAAAATGTCTAGAGGAGAATGGGGAAGGAATTGCAGTGTGGCCATCACCCCTGGGGGTGCTTTCTCACTTTCCCTCTCTCTTTCTGTCTCTGGCCAGTACACATGCCCTATAGTAAAAAACAAACACAAAATAAACAAGAAGCTTAAGGCCTCCTATGGACAAAGAAAAGCAGTCTGTGGGCCACCTCTGCCCCACAGGCCTACAGTGTGTGGCTCTTCACTGGAGGAGGAAGCTTTGGGAAGGGCCTGCACTGGGGTTTCCCGTAACTGGAAACGGGAAGGTGACAGGAAGCTGGTGGTTGAGAAAACCCCAGGACTTTCTGAGTCTCCCTGGATCCCACGGCATCTGAAAAGGAAGCTCCCAGCCTAGGTGGGCTTTCTCCCAGCTCCAGCACCCGGTGTCAAAGGCTCTCTGAAAGGATGTATTTGGTTATAGTACAAATAAAAACAAGAGCAACAGCAAACACAACTTTGTTGAATGTACTAAAAGCTAGATTCTACATTGTGATTAAAATGAAGCTACGGCTACAGCCAGCAGGTGGCGCGGTGGTGAAGGTGCCGGGCCAGCCGGATCCGCATGGCCGACACGCAGTTGGAGTCTGGGATCTGGCGGCTTGAAGATCATGCTGTGTGTGTGTGTGTGTGTGTGTGTGTGTGTGTGTGTAGCTAGAATCTTGAGGAGAAGGGATTAAGGTGTAGCCATCCTTCCTCCGAGGTGACTTCTCATTTTCCTCTCACAGTCTCTCTTTGGCAAGCCTACACATGCTCTATAGCAAACTAAAAAAAAAAAAAAATCCCGAGTGAAACAATAATATCTGGAATCCTCTGCTGCTGGACTGATTCTCCTCTTCAGGATATATATATATATATACATGTGTGAGTGTGTGTGTGTGTGTGTGTGTGTGTGTGTGTGTGCCAGCAGATGGCATAGCAGTTACGTCGCTGGACTCGCACATGGCTAACCATGGTTTCAGTCCTAGACCCAGTGGTGCTTCAAATTCATGCTGGGTGTGTGTGCTTGTGTGCCCATGATCCCAGGAGGATAATGGAGAAGGGACTGCCGTGTGACCATTCTCCCTGGGGGGCGATGTCTCACTTCTTTCCCTCTCACTGTCTCTGTCTGGCAAGTACACGTGTAGTGTGGCAAAAGTCTCTGCTATGAAATGCATACATTTGCTGGAATGGGACGTCATCCCCCCAGGTAGGATGGCCACACTGCAATCTCCTCCCCTCCATTCTCCTTTAGGTATCTGGGCATGCACACACGCATCTAGTATGATTTTCAAGTCCCCCAGGGTCCTATAGTAAAAAACTGAACTGCACCTTCTGCCATGTGGGATTCCCTCAATCTCATGGCACCTGGGGACCTGCCCTCTGCCAATTTTGTTTTAAAAGATAAAAAAATTTAAAAAGATGGACCAGCAGTTGGCGTAATGGCTACATTGCTGGACTCCCATGTAGTCAACTGCGATTCGAGTCCCGGACCTGGTGGCTTAAACTCACACCGGGCATGTGTGCGTGCGTGCCCAAGATCCCGAGAGAATAAGGAGAAGGGACTGTGGCGTGGCCATCCTCCTGGGGGGTGATTTCTTGTACCCTATAGCAAAAACCTCTCCCCCCACCCCCCCCAAAATTTTTTTTTGGAGAGGTTTTTGCTATAGGGCGCGTGCGCTCCCCAGACAGAC